GCAATCCTGTTGCAACACAGGCCATTTGTAATCTTGCTGTGTATCATGGGAAGGCTATTTAAGGTTGTGATTAACAACAGTTTCTGTCATGGGAAGATGACAGTATGGTACAGATCCTCCAAAAGGTAAATTTGGACTTAATACTTGGACTTATTTTAGGATTTAGTTCCCCTGTATTAAAAGGGGAGATGTGGGTTTAGCTATTTACATTTTACTATTTATACAAATGTTTTCATGACTCTCTAAATTTCAATGAAACTTGTTTGTCTATTTTTACGTGGCTTCCTGTGGTGGTTTTAACCCAGACATCCTAGTGTTGGGCTGGTGCCTGACTACCAAAAAATGAAGGTTGTTCACAAACAGAAAGCAAAAGTGCCTGTGCTGTGTCAATAGTCTGATAAGAATGTTTTTGCATCCAAATGGATTGAAGTACAGAAAGTAAACAGTTGCATATGCTGGGAAGCATAATTTTGATTCTTATAAAATATTCTTTTGGCTTTAATTGCTGATTCCTTACTAGAAGATCATATTGAAATAATTCCTTACTTCTGTTAACTTGGTTGTAGTTAGCAACCATCAATTCTTCTGTTGCGTGGTGTATACATGAGAGGTCACCAGGACCTTTGACACACACGTCTAGGGAGGAGTGGAGGCTTCCAAGACCTTCCATCTCTATTTTTAAGCCATTAAGACAGAATCCAAAGGCCAGACTCAAGTCCAGACATTTGGTGCCTTGATGGCTGTAATATGCACATCGCAGAATCAAACTCAGGTCTCCCAGGTGGCAAACAAGGAGTCTCCATTGAACCACAAGTTTTTTGTGTAACAAAATTCATATTTTGCCTATTGAGCACTTCACCTCAGTGCCCAAATTATTTAATGTTGTTTCATGATTTCAGCTGTGTAGTATTGGGATGTAATATTTGTTTAGACAAATCTGACCCAAGAACAAGAGTTTTTTTTCCTTTAAAATTCCAAGAGGAACTTTTAAATGTTACTCAAATGAGCTTCAAGCCTGTGTGTACAAAAATATCTCATCAATATAAATACCGTCCTTTGATCCTCTCCCTTCCTTCCTACTCCCTCTTCCTCCCCCCCTCCCCCCCTTCCAAAAGGAAAAAGCAAACCTTTATGTTGTTTTCCCATATTACTAATTCATTACAAGATTTTCCTGGAAGATCAAATCTTCTGTCTGAAGCAGACCGGAAGTATTTTACACACGAGGGGAAAGGTTTGATAATATGTAGTGTTGCATTGGGGTATGAATGACCAGACTTCTCAGACTAAAATAACTCTCATCCACCCAAGCATTAAAAAGAGGCTTAGGGTCATTATGCTTATTTACTACTTCTGCTATAGTAAGAATTCATAAACAGCTTGATGGAATTAGCAATCTGTATTCCATAAAGGTCAGAAGTTATCAACATTATTAACTTACTGAGTTTCTTAGACCACTGAGCATGGCAGTGTTTCCTTTTCTTTTGTGAGGTAATACCCAACATTGATTTATCCTCATATTTTACTGCATGTGTTCTCTGTAGCACTGAGAGTATGTTGCAGACATTCTTCAAATATTCAAAATGTTAGAGGAATTTGTACAAACTGTAGTTATTTCCCACTTATAATAATTATTTATACATTTTCTAGTTGACAAACCAATTTTGCTAATCATAGTCTCCCTTCCACCCCCAATATTGAAGCATGGTCTCCAAACTTTAAATTGACTTGTTAAATAGAATCATAAACTTTATTTGAAGTTAGGCTCATTCAGTTAGGGAACAGAAACATATAGTATGACCATATATCGGCATCTGATGAAGTGAGCTTCAACCCAAAAAAGCTTATGCTCACATCTTTTATTTAGTCAGTCTTTAAAAGTTCATATCTACCCTGCCTTCTGTATATCACCAAAAACAGCATAGCATAAAAACATGACTAGTTGATATGTATTGTTCATAATTCATAAACAAAAATTATTCTGGTAACTTAATTTTCAATATTAATTATAGACATTTTTCAATATTCATCTTCTTATGGGCAGTTTGTGAGCTTGGGTGGTGGGGAGGGGTAGTTTTCATCAGATAAATTATCTGCCTTACCCTGTTTAATTTCATCATATGCTACTGAAACATATGCTCATTTGACCTTCCTGCTGGGGTATTTTCTTGAGAAGTTGTGAAACAGGCAAGATGAAGCTGGATATTTCACTTAGGGCTGGTGCCCCTGGAGTGTCCACTATTAATTTTCAAGTGTTTTCGTATTAGTATTTAATTCTCAGGTTTTTTTCTTTGGTTTTTCCATTTATGGCCACACTCTACTTGTAGCACTTTATAGTGGGTGCATCTACACCGAAAGTTACTGCGCAGTATGGGTTCATGTCTACACATGTGCTCCCATACTGTGCAGTAACTATGGTGACTTATGCCGAGTTGGATGTAAATTTGCTACCAGCATGATGCAGGTAGCAAATTTATGCCCAGTTAGTTACTGCGCAGTAAGTCACATGTAGGTGCCTTACTGCACAGTAATACTATGTGTGTGCTTCAACTTGGGAGTTACTTTATTCCCAAGTTGGAGCACACACAGCGTTACTGCACAATAACACCTACACATTAAGACACCAGTCTAAAAGCCACTTACTATGCAGTAACGTACCGCACAGTATATGCACGGGTAGACATGCCCAGTAGCCAGTAAAAGGAAGAATCCTGATACTTAAAACATATCAGGGCACTAACCTAGAAATAAATCTCACTCCAAGCCCTGTGCCAGTGTGATTCACTGTATTAAATGTAAAGAATCCCCTTTCTTTATTTTTCATTACATTTTTTAAAAATCTTTTGGAAACAAGCACTTGCATACCAGATTTTATGCTGTTATACTGTCTCTCTCATAAATACGTCACAGCTAGTATCTATTAACTGTGCAATTGCATATGGTTTAGTGATAGGGTTTATATCCTAATATAATTAGGATTTTATATTAGGGGTTTATATCCCTAATATAATAATATGGGAGGAAACAACTTCAGGTACTAAACATAAGTCAGGTCTCCTGAAATAACTGATTTTAGTACATAGGCAGCTCAAGGCTTGGTCTGAGATTGCAAGGATCATAGCGGTGGCTAGAAGCCCAAGATATGAAAGGAAGTAAACTCCAGAGAGACAATTAAGCTGTTAGTTACTGAAGGCCTGTAACTGACAGCTTAATTATCTAAATGGAATGTGCACTTAATGTATGTACACATGTAACAAGAAGTGTTCAGAAAAAGAGTTAAAGGGCAAGGCAAGTCCCAAATCATCTGAGATTGTTGGTTAACTGTTGCCCTTCTCCTACCTTTCCTGTATTTATACCTGTCTCCACATGGACTCAGTTGCTTTTCTTCATTTCAAAATTGTTACCTAAAAAATACCCTTCAGAGTTGGAAAATCTTGGTCCATTAATTCTGGCAGGAATGTCTGCAAGTAATCTTCATTTTAAGATGCATACACAGACTCTTTTATTCTCTGTTATATGAAGCAGATGAGCTTTATCTTGTTTTTTTGTGAAAGGAGGTAGAAAGCATGCTACTTCCTACTATCTTGTTTGTGTTCTGCATAGCCTGAAGTTAAAGCAGTTAGACTTGCAGATGTATGCTCTCAAATGCGTATTCATGCTAGGATGCATGTAAAAGATTTTTTTTTAGGTTTGGGGGGACTTTGTTTTTTGTTTGTTTTTGTTTAGTTTAATTTTGTTTGTGGAGGTATTTTTAAACTAATGTTGCCTTGGAAGAGGATTAAATTAAAGAAGCCACTTATACCAGTATGAGAGTGTCTGCACTGTATACATATTGTATATATCTGTAAAAATCTATCAGTATGTCAGAGTTTTATCTTGTAGACAAACCCTTAGTCCCTGATCCTTCAAGCATTAAGACACTGGACATGTTTAAAGTAAATAGAGTTGAGCATACTTGTAAGCGTTTATACAATTATAAATTAAGAGCTCTTTAAAATCCCTGGCAAGGTCCCTGCCAGGCCTAAACTACAAAACTTCACTAAAGTATGTGTTGAAAAGGAAGGTGAGTGGTGGGACAGATGTAACTATGGGTTTTTTAACATAAATGCTGTGCAGCAAATCGTTAATTTGCACTTTTAATTTCCCTGAGCTCTAGGCTTATCCTCTTTGGGAACAGCTGCGCTTTTTACTTTAACCTATTAGTTACTCCCTGATGGGTAGTACATTTTGTAAAGACTACTTTAGGACCTCCCTGGAGAAATTAAAATATGAGCCAAAACAAAGTTCAGGATAGTGTTAAAATACAGAAAACCAAGGGTACCATTGTCATCTATAGTTTTTATTACTAGAAATTTTTCTCTCTGACTTGAATGATGTCATGGAGGTTGCATTCCAGTCAGAAGCTGAAACGGACACTAGGATTTAAGTGTAACTTGACAGAGGCATATGTGGGCTCTGTTTTAGTTTCATATAAACAGTCTGATTAATTGAAAGTTAAATTCAGTACTGTAATTGGCTTGTACAGGTTTCTCACTCACTTTGTATTTCTATAGTTCAGTATGTCCAAAATAGCCAAAAATTGAAAATAGCCATGCAGTAATGCAAATAATGGGAGGGATTGCTTCTCAAATAACCAGTTTAGTTTTAGGTTTCACTTTAACTCAGTACAGATGTGGTTGTGCAGCTGTTGCAGATTCAACACTCAAGCAAATTAGGTGCTGTATAGAACTGAGGTCTAACGGATTGTGATCTATACAGAGAGAATAAAATACAATAAGTGTGCTAAATATTTCTATGATAAGAATATGGAAGCAAGTTTTTTATGATCAGAGTAATACTGGCATGTCATGTGCTTTTTGTGGCATCTAGTGGGCCCAAATCCTGACTGAGTGTCTAAGTGCTATTGCAACAAACTTGTTCCCTTTTGAAAATCCCAGCCTGAATTTTCTTTGTAATAATTCCTTCCTTATCATACTTCTTGTAAATGCATTTGTCCTGTACAGACAAGTTCCACTGAAGGAGAAAATGCAAATGCAGAATCTTAAAGCCTCTGATTAGCAGGATTGGTGATTTACATTGAACAGTCTTAATCCAGACATTGTGAAGGGACATCTTGAATTTTCAGTTAGGTTTCTACTGGTATGTACACACATTACTCATAATTGACTATTTCTTATAGTTAAGCCTTAATTTGTTAATAGACGTTTCTTCTGTGGTAATGTTTTGCTTTGTTTTGAAAATGTTTGTTTATGTCCTTTTCTAAAAACCCATTTAAAAATGGGGGAAGAAGGGAGGATTTTGAGCCCTGACTTTGATTCAGTGTCCTGAATCACCAGTGTTTAGAACTTTTTCATTCAGTGAGTTGTGTGAAGTTCAGAGACTCTGGTACTTTTGTTGTGTCTTATTCTAGATAATTTGAATGGGAAGGAACTCTGTCCATTGTAAATTGCTTCTAATTTAACATCTTCTTTGTTCTTCCCCTTCCCCCACTTTTTTCCTCCAGGCAGGATGAGAGACCGGTTATTTGAACTGTGTGAATTAGCCAGGATTTATAACCAACAGTTTCCTAATGATGAAAATGACATCAGTTCACCAACTGAAACTCTCCTGTATGAGACTGATTATGCCCTTGCATCTCTTTATAAAGACATCCAGACTGTCAGAACAGAAAACAACCACCTGAAAGAGGACATCAAGCGCCTAGGCAAACAAAATAAGCGCTTCCTTACTTCCATGCGCCGTCTCAGCAGCATCAAGCGAGATACCAACAGCATTGCCAAAGACATCAAGGCTCGTGGAGAAGGCATCCACAGAAAACTCCAGACAATGAGAGACTTCACTGAAGATGCAGAAACAAACTTTGGTGCAGTCTCTGTCGTAGCTCGTGTATCAAAGGACCACTATGTTGACCTCATGCATGCCTTTCAACAAGCCATGTTTGCGTACAATGAGACAGAGATGAACCAACGGGATAATTGCAAGATCCGGATTCAGAGACAACTGGAGGTCATGGGCAAGGATGTTTCTGGTAATCAGATTGAGGATATGATTGAGCAAGGCAAGTGGGATGTTTTCTCTGAGAATCTCTTGTCTGATGTCAAAGGGGCTCGTGCAGCCTTGAATGAGATAGAGACACGTCACAAAGAGTTGATGAAGTTGGAGAGTCGCATCCGGGAGGTTCACGAGCTCTTTTTGCAAGTAGCAATACTGGTGGAGCAACAGGCAGATACCTTTGATGTCATCGAAATTAATGTGCAAAATGTTGAGGACTACGTAGGAGAGGCTAAAGGTCAGGTGAAGAAAGCGTTGGAATACAGGAGAAAACACCCCTTCCGTACTATCCTCTGCTGCTGTTTATCATGCTGCAAAAGCTGATTCTCCTCGGGCCTTTACAAACCACTTTTAGCGTGCTCTAAGAATGAACATTAGAAATAATATTGTCATAACGACTACTTAAAACAGTGTTTGGGGGAGATTTTTGTTTGTTTTGTTTGTTCCTCTTGTTTAAAGTTGCTTAAGGTACTTCAGCCTATGCATTATTAAAAACCATATGTTGGTGGCAGATAATTTTATTGCCTGTTTTCAACTGAAACTGGACCTGTTTAGCTGCAATTCAGGGTAAAATGGTTTTAAAAGCACCTCCTGAGATAATGCATACTTCAGTCTACCAAAAGAATGAAGAAGGGCTGATAATTTGTTGAAGATGAATCACAAAATGGGTTTTTTCCCCACATTCCAAAGTGGGCCAGCATGAAGTACAGATCTTTTGCTGTTAGTGGCCTAATCTGTGTTTTTTTTGTAAGTAAATCTGTCTGCATTTAAAGAACGTGGAAGTCTACTTCCTGCAAAACCTTACACATTTCATTGCCACATTAATTTAATGAAACAGTAAAGCTGTTCATATATGAGCAAAAGACAGGATTAGTTCTAAGTAAAACTTTTTACACAAGGATTAAGCTTAAGTCTTATCTGTCACTGGGCTTTTGTACCAATAGAAGTCTGTTGCAGTGAATGAAGTGAATTTAGATCTACTCAGGTTTTAAATAAGATCAGAATCAAGGCCTCTTCAAATCACTTCTTATTTAGGCCATCATTAAATACTCTCAATTTGAAGCTGTCCTAATTTAAAGGTTTGCTCTAATTGAGTGGAGGACTGAAAATTTTGCCATGGACACTCTCAAAAAAATTTTTTTCAGTCCAGTGTGTAAATTCATATGTAATTACAACACCCTTGAATGGAAGGCTAAATATAACATTTTTAAATTGTGCGCACACAAAGATTTTTAATGAAATATTTATATTGTAAAGACAATATACTTATTTTTGTAAGTATTGATGTCGTGTTCTTATGGATTAAATAGCTTGAAGTCTTAACAGTATTAAAATTCACTCTGATTAGGATATGAAGACTAAGGGGTCTATTTCCCACATATGGGAAATCTGTATATTGAGAACAAAAATAGGCACCTTTATTTAATATACCTTCTGAACCAGCATTTACACATCACTTGGACACTTTCACTGAGTCTGGAGAGAAAAATGTCTTCCTCTGCTTAAACCTTCTGTAGCCATACTGGGTTTGGACAAAAGGTGTAAGAATGAAAGGAGGAAGAACAAATTTAATGACCAGATTTCACAGTCCTTAATTGAACACATTTCCCCCATTGGTTTCAGTAGGAGTTTCACTTGATAAAGAACTGGAGATTTTGTCCCTTACTTCAGAAGAGCATTATGCTCTGTGTTACTGGAAGTAATGAACAGTGGTCATAGACAAAAGTACATGGACTACTGAAACTATAGTATTTCTGAGCACTTTTCTGCTGTACTGTGATTTATTGATACTTTATATCAAGTTCCAGCTATTTTTCCAGAGGTTTGAGACATTTATTTTAATTTTTCCTCTTTTTATATATTTTAATAAAGATTTTAACATTTCACATATTTGTATTTGGTTTTCTGGGATGATCTTCCTGCACTAGTCACAAAGAAGTGTTTCTTTTCCTGTCTTTTTGCGTGCAGAATGTATATAGTATACAGAACTCTGTAACTGCTACAAAATAATAAGACTGCAACATAACAAAAAAAAAAAGAAATAGAAACTACTTTTAAGCTTTTATAGCCAAGCCAGAAATATTTTCTTGTCAGGCAGGACTTTGCATACAGAGGAAAAGCTAGGGAAATAGCCATGGACAAAGCCTTTGTTCTTAAACTAAAACCTCTCATTGCATGGAAGTAAATACCAGCATGTGTCTAGACTTTCTGTATGAAAAGATCCTCTAAACTAGAGGTCATTGTGGTATACAATGGTGTTTTAAAATTATCAGTATTATAGTTGTTTCAAAACTGAATAGAGAAGAGGGGAAGGGAATAGGGTGCCTCACATGCTGGCAGCCATTATTAATGTCTATGTGTTTGTCAAGGAGACAAACCCATACTTCATAAGTAATTTCCATTAGTCAATGAAACTGTTTGCTTGTGAAGAAAGGTATTGTATATGGGGACAGGGAGGGTGTCAGAATCTAGACCTACATCAAGTAGGAGAAAGCTGGAGGGAGGAAGAACCTGCTTTATTTTAACTATTTTGACTTGCATAAAGCTGTGCAAATATAATTGTGTTTCTGTTTTTATGCACGCACGTTCCAAAAGTACTTAAAAGGAAAAGAGGTAAAGGAACAGATGTTTTCATGTTGAATCTGTATAGATCCAAATAGTTCTTTGTATACTGATTGTCTGACCTTTTGCTCTAAAAGCCAGTGAACCAAATGAACTCTTTCACCAACTTACTGAACTGCTGGAATTCCTACCAACATTCACTGCCAAAGTCAAGCCTTCGTAACAAGGACCCATTTTGTTTTGAATATTTAACTTGCCTTCTGTGTTTTATGGACACACTTAAGATGATCCTTCATTACAAGAGAGGATCCAGTTGAAGGTTCTAAGACATGAGTTTCAAATGCCCACATCACCATAGGCTGGATCTGGCCTATGGAGGTGGATCATTTGGCCTGTGGGGCTTCTCACAAGCTAAAACACCCACTTCCACAGGTCTAATTCAGCCTGAGGCTTGTCAACACAGCTGCTAAAGCCCTTGTGACAGCAATGTTAATCCTGATAGGTACTGGAACTGCTGTTTTAGCTTGGCTCTGGAATCCAGGGAGTTTGTGCTGCTTGCCTTTCTCTCTTCCGCCACCCACCACCAAAATCAGCATTTTAGTTGTCCCTAGGGACTAAAACTCATAGCAGGGGAAAAATGGGAACAAGCAGTGGTGGCATTAACTCCCTGGGTTCCAGAGCCATGCTGAAACACCAGCCCTGGCAGCTGTGGGGGTTAACATCACTGTTAACAGTCCGCACGGCCAATGGAAAGCCCTGCAGCCTGGATCCAGGCCATGTAAAGCCCTGCAATTTAAATATGGCCCGCAGTGCCAAACAAATTGGACACCCCTGTCCTAGATGATCCTTAGGAGTATGTTTAAAACCACCACATTACTAATAATCATTCATATCTTGTGTCTTTGGCTCTTAAGAGAGATTGTGTGTGTGTGTGTTTGCATAGCTATACTATTCCTTAATGAGAAGAATCCAGTGTAATTGCTTAAAAATGCAATTGTTTTATGGAAGTAGTAAAGGAGCCTATATCTAAGAGTACTGTGACTAGGAATAATCAATTAGATATTTTCCCCATCTTTGATTAAACTACATTATAAGGACATCTAAAGATTGGGTCACCACTTCATTTTTAAATTCAACCTCTGCAACAACAAACATTCACCATCCTCTTGAATGGGTACATATCTGTTCTGAGGTAAAGTTGGCATCTCTTCCAGCTTATGCATCATTGACAGAACTGTTAACTAATTTCTAACTGAAGTGCCCTGTTTTCCTATTAATGCAATATAGTTGCACAGGTATAACAGGACAGAATGCTATGTACCTACAGCTGTTGGAGCAAGTAAGGATGTACAGACCAAAAGGAACATAGGCTCTCTGATACTACAGTGACAAAAGTGGTATAAAACCCAAATGAAGTTTGACTTTCATAGTCTAGTAGAGAACTGAGGAATGGGGAGACAAAATCACCATCTAAGGTTCCAAACAGGGAAAATTCAATCCATGTGCTATTCAGAAATAGCACGCAACTCCACAAACCATTACAGTTGCATTTTGAAGAACTACATCTTAATAAAACAGCTGCTTCCAGTAATGAAAAGAGCAATCTGTTTCTTGTAAATATGTATTGCTTAAACATTGTGCTTTCTATATACATGAGTGTGATAGAGATAATTTACTAGTTCCTGAACTTGCCTAGTCACCATTACATTGAGTTTTGGAAAGAAATGGTTTAGCTGTAGTTACAGAGCATAAAATGCATTGCTATGTCCGTAGGATGAATGGGGGGAAATAATAAACATAGCTGGATATTAGGCACTGTATGAAGCTTTAGGAAGCTTTCTTTAATATTACAGGAAACTTTTTTTTGTTCTTAAGGAGATGCAAATGGCATGGTTGCAGATGGCACCCTCTTGTTTGTGATAAGCCACAGTGACGAATCTGCTAGCAGTGGCAGTTAGTCTTTTTCCCCTCCCCCTCACCTTATTCTTTATAAAGTGAAAAGCAGATATGAATGTGCCAGGAGTTGCATGGAGACATAGGCAAGAGTGTCAGGATCCTCCCATGGTGATGGGAGCCAGTCTCATCCAGTTTATTCTTTGAAGAAGGTAAGATTAGAATATGAATAAAGTATAGAAACTTTGAATCACTCCTGTGTACTTGCCAACAACTAAAAGGTTTGGTGTACAACACATTAGACATGGCTAAAGTGACTGGGTTTGTTATGTATGCAATTACTCTATACCACTGCTGGGGTTTCAGAACTGCATTTTTGTTGCACTGTATATTTAACATTAGAGCTATTGAGGGGCAACACACTTACATTGTAACTCCAATTTAAGGGATTCCTCTGCAGCCTGTTAGAGCAACTGTCTGGCACTTTCTCTTTCCCCATTTTAAATAACAGTAATTGAACTAAACATTTCTTTTTCTTGTAAAGTGTCCAGGGAAAGAAACCTGGCTTGCTAATCCAAGTTGCCTCATTAGCACTATATTGTTTTTTAAACTGGGTTTCTCAGCCCAAGATAAGAATACCTTTCTATTTTTTAATTTTTTTTTTTTATTTTCAGTGTAAGCCTGGCTTGTGTTGCATGTTAGACATTTGAATAAATAAACACCTTTCCTTGGCTTTTGGTGATTAGTAATGATTTGAAAGAGAAACAAACAGGGCATAGTTGCCATACTTCACACTTTGTATCACAAGAATGAAGAATGTGATCAAGACAGGAAATGTCATTTCATAGATGACGTATGTATCGACTTCAATACTTCGCATTTTTCAACAGAGTTACTCGTACACAAAGTTATACACATGCCAGGAGTGTCTTCTTTTGAAGTGGTTTCCCTGAAGTTTCAAATACCAGCAATTACAAAGCTGAACCCAAGCCACCAACCTAAAATATTGTGACCATGTTAGTAGAGGAGAGATCGCACTTACTGTAATATGTAGATGTCTATTGATATGTTGGTAATAGGTATTTTGTCTGTGGAATTTGTTAATATTATGGTTAAAAATATATTATTAAAACTTAAATTGGTATGTAGCAAGTTCTACATTTTCCATAATTAATACAACATATATGGCTGCAAAAATTAATGATGGACACCAAGAAAAATAATTGTCTTTATCTAGATCCAAATACTTCCACTTAGGTTTCGCAAGTTAGTTTTCGTTCCAGAGTTCTAACCTAAGCAAATTTCCATTACCACAAGTAGTAACTAAGGGTGGTTGCTCTTCAGTGGTGAAGGTGTGTTTACACGTTCATTAACGCGCCAAAATTACAGTGCTACTGCACATCAGTGCAGCTGAATACTTTTTACGTGATGTTAACATGCATTAGACTAAGTCTATTGTGCATTAGCACATTTTTCGCCAGGCATGCTAATGCACAGTAGAATTAGTCTTCTGTGCATTACCTGTCTCATAAATGTGCCCACTGTGCAAATTTCAACTTCTTGTAGAAGCTGCATATCTCAAAGGCTTACAAGGTCTTTTCTTGACAGGAAATAGAAGAGGGGAAAATATGAATGCTTTTATCTTGCAGTCTTTGAATTATTATCTATTTTATTGCCATATACTATGTGCTTTATAATTCCAGGGACTGGAATTTACACGTACCAAATGTGTTTTGGTAACACAAACAACTGTAAAATATTCAGTTTCTGTTCAGTATTACATTCAGTCCTACCATTCTGAGACCAGGCAGGTAATTTAGTTTGATCAAATGGGTGAGTATTGTTTAAATAGTAATGAACAGGAAAACTGGAAAAGAACTGACTGGATGTATTAGGTTAAGAATAACAACAGCAATATCACTATTGCTTAAATCTGGATGTGCTAAAAAAGGAAACACTTTTTTTTTTTTTATCACTTACCAAATGAAAATGACAGTACCTTACTATTCAAATACTGGTTGAATTTTCCTTGATTAAGCATTTTATTTGGGGTTGTGTGTCCAAATACAATATGCAGCACCAGGAGCTGGATCTGGCCCAGCACTGGGAGTTGGATCTGGCCAGGTGTTGAGCACCCCTGTTATTTGGAGCTACTACCAATTAGGGTCTTAAATGCCACAATGCTTAGCTTAGCCCCCATAGTAAAATCCAAATCTTCCCTATATTGAGTATGCAGAGTTAGACCCCTCCAAATGACAGCCTAAAACAGCTGTGTAGAGCCAGCCAATAGGAAATTTGAAACAAGAATGTTTCTGAAATCTTGTTGCTTTCCAGAGCTCTGACCCCTTCGGTCTATGCAGGATCCTGAGCCTGGAGTCTTAAGCATAAATGCCTACATCTATTTTTGTCAAAGAAT